TATTTACTTATTTCTTCCTCTCAAACATTGATTAACATTTCCTTCCTTCCTTCAATTGACGTTTCTTATTTCTAAATATATTTTCTGCTTTTCGTTCATTTCATCATTTTATATCTCTCCTCCACACACACACACACACACACACACACACACACACACATATATATATATATATATATATATATATATATATATATATCATATGTATTCCTTCGTTTTTTTATCTTTCCTTTTTCTAAATTTTCTCTTTTATTCTTGATTCAATTTCGCTGTTTAATATTTACTAACATTAGCTTTATACGAAGAAGGACCAAATATATAGAAACAGGCGCATGACAAGGTCACCCTTAAAGGTCAGAAAAATCCCGATTATTGTGGAAATCATTATTCAAAATCCTGCTATTTATCCGGACGCGAACACTGACCAATGGCTCCAGTGGCCTATATGTCATTTCCTAATCAACAAATACATACAGACCCTGATTTATTTTCTTTCAATTCTTCTCTTGGATTTTGTTTTATTATTCTTGTTTTAGCTTCTTCTTTCCTTTTGAGTGGATTTTCACTCTTTTTTGGTCTTTTAACCGTTACTCTTCCTTCTACATGTCATATTCCATGGTCCCTATTTCAGTTCGTTTGTTCCTTCCAGTCTCTCTTTTATTTATTTATTGCTTTTGCTTTCCAACTGACCAGATTTTAAAATGATAAAAATGCATTTAAAATAACAGAAAGATGGTTTTAAACCTATATAAGCGCGGATTTGAAGTCAGAATATTATCATTGATAACTCTCTCCTCCAATTTGCGGATCCTAGTTACTAGTTTCTTCATACTTGTTACAATGCAAAAGATACCACATTGATAAAATATGTCAATAATTACTTATCACTATTTATAATGGGACACATGCATGCATTTACAAGGTATCGATAATAATATTTTAGAACTTAAATTTTATAAAAACTAAATCAAAGCATCTTGTCTGTTATATTCCATGAAACATGCACATATATATATATATGTGTGTGTGTGTGTGTGTGTCTGTGCGCGTCTGTGTGTGTGTGTGTGTGTGTGTGTGTGCGTCTGTGTGTGTGTGTGTGTGTGCGTGCGTCTGTGTGTGTGTGTGTTTCTGAGGGATGCATTTAAAAGTATGTTTTTTGTGTGTAACTACTTTTGGTGAAAATGTTTCCAGCATATATATATATATATATATATATATATATATATATATATATATGGGGCGCGCGTCTGTGTGTGTGTGTGTGTGTGCGTCTGTGTGTGTGTGTGTGTGTGTGTTTGTGTGTGTGTGGGGATGCATTTAAAAGTATGTTTTTGTGTGGAACTACTTTTGGCGAAAACGTTTCCAGCATATATATATATATATGTGTGTGTGTGTGTGCGGGTGCGTGCGTCTGTGTGTGTGTGTGCGTGCGTCTGTGTGTGTGTGTGTTTGTATGTGTGTGTGTGTGTGTGTGTGTGTGTGTGAGGGATGCATTTAAAAGTATGTTTTTGGGTGGAACTACTTTTGGCGAAAACGTTTCCAGCACCCTTGCGTCAAACTTGTAAAAGATTTTCGGAAGATTCACTTGTGACTGCTCGTTCAGAATGCATCACGCTTCGGACGTATGATTTTCTATTTTGCTTATAGGTGCATTTGCACCTATTACTTTCTATTGCAAAAAGAACAATTCTATATTTTAATTAATCTAACGATATACTACAGCGACTTTCGAATGAATTTTCATATTTTGGAATGCAAAATGTTTTCTTTCTTTTCAATTCGTTAGATTAAAAAGAAATGAACCAGCTGCTTGCAAAACGAAACAATAAAATTGATAAATATTTACTAATTAAAATATATCGTTCACTCCTTTCAAAAATAGTATTCCCAATTAATTAATCATAGGTTCTTTTAATTAGGCATAATTCATATGAACGTGTCAGTCGAAAAATGTACTTGACAAAAAGCCTAAATATCGAATAATCTTATTCAATTAGTTCCAATCAACGCGGCTAAAGTTAATCAATCAACGAAACTAAAAATGGCTGTTCAAAAAGAATATATATGTACGTATGGATCTATCTATTTCTCTCCCCCGTATTATATATATATATATATATATATATATATATATATATATATATATATATATATATATATATATATATATAAACATGTATACACATATATATATATAAACGTGGCCTGACGATTGTATCTAGCATGAAACACACTGTCGCCTCTAAGTGTTGTCTTCTATGTTCACTTTTATATTTAAACGTGTATATATATATTTTCGTAGCGTTTGAAATAACGTCGCGGATTGGTTAATAAAAAAATCTGAACCTATGTTACATACAAGGATGATTCAATTGAGATTTTTAGTGATATTTCTTAAATCTATTGAATTTTACAAAAATATTTTCCACAATTATGTGTACATCTCTCTCTCTCTCTCTCTCTCTCTCTCTATCTATCTATCTATCTATCTATCTCTGTATATCTATGTATATATATTGAATATATTGATATGCTATTCAAATATCTTATCAACCTTCAATATTTACAAACATGATAGAAGTATACTACCTTGATAATATATATATATATATATATATATATATATATATATATATATATGTGTGTGTGTGTGTGTGTGTGTGTGTGTGTGTGTGTGTGAATAAGATATATTTAGGCAGCTTGGAGACATCTAAACAGCTTTGATTAAAGTTCTTATTATATTTCCTAAATTCTCGGAAAAGGTGTTGAGTATTTTGCCTGAAGTTTTCTTATTTCTGTGTAAGTACTATTTGGGATTATTAGTTTCTTTTTAATCAAACTTGTTTATATATATATATATATATATATATATATATATATATATATATATATATATATATATAGATAGATATAAAAAATATGTAGTGCAGTTTAATTTATATTACAATGAATCATTCATACAATAAGTAAATTAGTAAAGTTAATGATATAAAATGGCGAATTCTCTTCGATTACTAAATTTTAAAAAACGGATTTACCCACTAACCACTCGATGCATGTTATGATATTTGTTTTTTAAAATTATAAGCTCTATTATTTCTTCTTTAAATATTCAAGTACTTTCATATCAAAGGAAGACCTAATTCAAGTTTTAATAAAACAAGGCTCATAATATTCATCGAGCAGTTAGTGGATCAATGGATCTTTAAAATTTAGTTAGCGAAGTGAATTTGTCATTTAATATCATTAACTTTACTAATTTACTTTTTGTATATATATATATATATATATATATATATATATATATATATATATATATATATATATGTGTGTGTGTGTGTAAAGTATAAATATATATATATATATATATATTTAGTTGGATTGATGCGTAGCTCTATCACTGATATTGAGCGCTTTTCATTAAGTAACGTGCATATATAATATATAAATAATTTATATAAAAATTGCATATATATATATATATATATATATATATATATATTGTAATATATAGCCAATATAAATACATATATGTATATATTTATATTGGATTCTGAAAAATTAATTTCAGTTGAGCTCTCTGGGGAAGTGGTGTGGGTTTGTAAACAGTGACTATTGTAGCTGATATAGCGAGACTCTTCAGCAAAAGCAAATGGAGTCACTGTCAGTCACTGTGTTTGTTTATCTAAAAATAAATGCGATAAAATTCACCTTCATCCCTGCCGTGCGCCGACGGCTTAGTGGTAGAATCTCCGACTGACACCAATTCTGTCGTGTCACAAAATCAGATCTATCCAACTATATATATATATATATATATATATTTAAATATACTGACCCGTAGCAAACTCTGAGTGTCATGCACGAGTCAATCGTCCGGTGTGGACTGAAAACTGAGTTGATAGGGCAATCAATCAGCCCCTGATGTATATTTGCCTGTGCCTGCTTGTGTGTGTGTGTGTGTGTCTGTGTGCATGTGTGTGTGTCTGTGTCTGTGTTTGTGCGCGCACGTGCGTCTAGTAAGCAATTCTGTCCAACTTTGGTGTTGGTCCGCTTGTTGATTTGGGGAATTTTTTGGTGAGTGTGAAAGAATTTACGTTACACCAGTTGTGGTAACAGGTAGACATATATTAGCCTCTTCAAATATGGGTTTTCATAAAAGTTGGCAATGCAATAAAGTGTTTTTGACGTCATGGCCTGTTCTATTACTGTTTTGTTTTCTGTGCATTACGAGCGGCTGAAAAGGGTTGTCCCAGTATTGGACTCTTTAATGTTCTTAGAAGCGAGTTTGTAGATTCCTAGATGTTTCGCCAATGTAACATTTCCTACATTATAAGCTTTTTATGTCATAAATCTCGGTATCTGTAATAGTGTTGGATGTATTTTTCTTCCTAACAATATCTTCAATTGGCGTGGAGGTGGCGGTGAGGTTCCTAGTGTTGAGGATAACTAATCTATTTTCAAATTTTGTTGATAGAATGTTGGAAGGTAGGATTAAGAATTTTGGGATTTTTTTCTCGGCGAACTTTGTATGCTTGTTTTCTAGCGTTGAGTATGGTAGTGAAGCAGTCGTTTTTTCTAGCGTTGAGTATGGTAGTGAAGCAGTCGTTTTTTCTAGCGTTGAGTATGGTAGTGAAGCAGTCGTTTTTTCTAGCGTTGAGTATGGTAGTGAAGCAGTCGTTTTTTCTAGCGTTGAGTATGGTAGTGAAGCAGTCGTTTTTTCTAGCGTTGAGTATGGTAGTGAAGCAGTCGTTTTTTCAATGTCTTTCTCTTTATCACCTTGGTATCCTGGACGAAACATTTTGAGGTTAAATCACATGAAGATTCTTTTTTACTATTTCACGCCAAGCATGGCGATAATAACACAACGACACTGTGGGAGAGATAGTAAATGCGAATGAAAAGATGGAGAATTGGGTGGAGTGAGGAAAGAACAAAAGATGAAATGGGTTCAGAAACACAGATGATGGCGATGGACGTCACATTTAAATTTTTGAAGA